AGAAAGGGTCTATGGCTAAACTAGAGCTCCATGGCATTTGTTGTTCCTTGTAAGTGGCAATAAGCGATCATTGGTGCGTATTGTGGCGATGGCGTAGTCGGATCGTACTAGTATTATGTCAGGCAGTGGAGACCTATGACAGTACAACGATACTGTCCATCAGTCACGTATCTATTATCGATCAAATAATGGAGTACCTTATAGGACAATAGTAAGGGGTATTCTAGGTTAGTATTTTTTTTCCTACGTCCTAGTGTAGTCATCAATCATAGTACTGTCTCATAAGGAGTAGGGCATGCTAGAAAGACTAAACGATGTACGCTGGCTGTTAGTATGACACGAACACTGCGTTATGTTGATAGTAGACACGATTATTGATATGTGTGAGTGAGTGTAGTCTGTGATCGTGATGCTCTGTTATCTGACAGGATTATCAATATAGAGATCTCATCTTTCTAAGTATCATCTCAGCTCTATCAGTAAAGGTCATTTCTCATATCACCACGTTATTGGGGCAACAACTACAATGGTCCCTCTAGCGTACGATGAACAATAACACGCCGCGGTCTCAGCCATTCAACCTCGAGATGTCGTATGCACTTCATATGGAACATTAGAACGTTGACACGGTGAATTCATTAGATGGCGTAGAGGGGGCTTTTCAGTTCGGCATCTTTAATCTTATATAAACTAATCAATCTTAGATATTAAAACGATGATGAAGTGATACTACATGACATCTAACTACAAAGTGTTGGCTGTCGGGACCTGAACATTGATGTGAATAGCGTTAGCTGCTCTAGCGCGTCGTACATTGTTATTACTTGGAGTGCGGCTCTAGGCACTGGCTTGTATAATAGTGGACAACACACATACACTACACTTATTAATACTGATTCCTTGTCTTAGGGTCTCGGGGAAGGATAGAAGGGGGCTATACAGAGTCTCTCTATAGCAATGGGTATAACTTAACGCGTGAGGAACAAATGCAGTTGGTTTGCATAATCTTAAGCTATATGACGCATTGACGTAAGGTCGTAGTGTCGCATGTTCCTGCCGTGCAGAAGCTTGCAGCTCGAGACAAGCTTAAGAACAGCTGGTTATTCACGTCGACGATATCCAATATGAGCATTCGACGTATACAGAAAATCAGCGTAATAATGCTCTATAACATGTCGATTTTCGGTTCCTGCGACATGGCACATATTGGGGGACTCGCACACGTAACGGGCACAAGATGTAGTGCGGCAGGGGTGAAGTGCAATTTCATTTGGCTCGCTGTGTGTCACACCAATGAGGGTTTCCTCGTTTCCGACAGAGTGAACAATCACTGTGGTAATGGCAAAGTGGGAGAATGACATAGATCTGTATCTTATGGAAATCCAGAAGATTGAAGACTTATGTATAAAGAATAGATACAGTTATGTTGCGCATATATGCTAGTATGATTAGGTCTAAGTATGTGCTAGCCCAGTCATCAGCGGTACATCGCTTATGACGAGTGGGGTTTAACACATCTAGGAAAGATGGACGAAAGGTTTCATGCGAACGTGCAGACATACTGTGAATAACGCAACTGTGTAGATCATAAGTTTGCGGGGCTGAAGGTAAGTCGTTTGTAATGGAGAGATTAGACGTTATAAACATACAAGAGCTAAGATCTTGTGTGTGGGATTGCAATGTGCATGTTTGTACCGGTACGTCGTATCTGAATGTAGTCGTTTAGGACCAAGTTGTGAACAGGGGATGCACTAGGAATATATGTACTCGAAACATAGCGTCGAGCGACAGTTATGGACTGATTAGACCTGTTAAAGTACGTTAATTCTTTACTTTTATACAAACGACCGTTCTGTGTATGTATACTGGATCCACGACTTACTGGCTTATTTTATATTTATTCTGCAATTATAGACTTCAGCGATACTTGCTGCCACGGTTTGCCAGCATTTTTGACATAAAAGTCAATTGCGCGGTTTAAAGACGTAAGGGCCTTCTCTTTCAAACATATCTAGTGAGTAATGCGTAAAGCAGTGCATGGAGTACAGAACTAGCCCGTGAACAGTTTTTTGTCGATGCATTTTGTCTCACCAGAACTGCCTAATACAAATGTGAAAGCGTACAGTCCGGTGGTTCAAGAAGTTTAGGATGAAAAGGACCGTAGAGCCATGATAGTAATAAGGTATGAGGCATGAGTGGCTGGGCTAGTGGGAATGTCCATCGGTAATATATGGGAAAACAACGCCCTTCATCAGAGTTAGCTGGTCTCCTTAAGATCTGCGTGATTGTGGGTTTTTAATTATATTGGTGCAGCAGACACAAAGGATGCTGTTAGAGGGATTTCAATACTTTCGACAATCGGCGTATCCCAGTCGCAACAAAGCCGCGAAAAGTAGAAGTACGAAAGTTGCGCTTTCTTATCCGTCAGTCACGGAGGGTCTCGCGCCAAAGGACTTCTCCCCGGTTAAGAGATATGTCACCCGGCGCACGTTCTTACTTTTGTCAAGCACCGCCTGCTAGTAACATGTGTTATGAGAAATATGATATGTAACTGTTCATTTTTCCCATATCTGTAGATTGACACAAGATAGATATATAAAACTTTGATACGGACTGATAGAATTTTCTTAAGCCTTTCAAAGGTTTAGTATGGCACCTCGAGTACTAGACGTACATGTTTCAGCTTTCTTGCAAGCCTCATCAGTAGCACGTGCCAATCTGCCACTCCTCGCCAACTATGGTAGAGAATCGACGCCGTGTAAGTTGCACTATGCGTAGGGAACGCCGCGCTGGGTGATCTTTTCACTTGACGAAGAGTGACAGATCTTCGACAACGTTTCCTATATGGATCCTATATGTGAGGCGGCGACAAATTGTAAACCGATCTCATTCGCCAGACAGGAAAGTTTCATAAAATTGTTTGCAATCACTCGAAAGCTTTAATCTCTGGCTAGAACCCTATGTCGTCGGTTCTTCAAAACACCCTTTTATGGCTTCGCGAAATCCAAAATAAAATAAAGTTTCACGCAACCACGTGTTTTTTTTTCTTATCTCGTTTGTTTTTCGCTGGACAAAACTCTTTCCTTGGAGTCCTAGTACTCATTCAATAGCACAATATTGAAGAACTCAAAAATGGAATTGTTTTTTGGAAAAGTTCTTCTGACAACGCTGTAGGAAAAATAAAAAGTTTGTGCTCTACATTTAGCCGGCCGAAGTCTTTCTTTAGACCATTTGTAATCATTCAATGTCGTAAGTTCCACTGATTCCAACGTTGTGCTTGCTTTCTGGAAGCACCATTTAGCAGGGAAAATCGATCGAGTTTCACATTTTTGACGACCTTGCTTACCAGCCAACTCACTGAGCGAAGGGGCGCAGGGACGGGGCGATCGATCGCGTTTGAAATATTGTTCTTCAACTGCAGATTTTTTCACCGAATCGACAGAAACTTCAGATAACACATGATCCTGATACCACGCAAAATTCTCTACACGCTGATGTGCTTTTCATGCTTCCAACGACTTATACACGTGATAAAAGTGAAGGCGAATGGCGAGTGTGAAAAACATTTTTATTCTGGATTTTACAGCGTTATAAAAGGGTGTTTTGAAAAAGCGGCAAAAGTGGGAATGTAGCCGGAGATTTGAGCTTTCCAATGACTACTAACACTCCTATGAAAAATTCCTGTGCACCAAATGAGATCGGTTTGTAAACTTGTCGCCGTCCAACATACGAGTTCGCCCTGTATACCTAGGAGGCGAGAAGCCGAATGGCATGTGCTACGGATGAGGCTTGCGAGGAAGCCGTAACGCACGTCTGGCACTTGAGGTGTCAAAGCAGACCTTCAAACGGCTTAAGGAACTTCCACCAGATTACACTGAACTCTAAAGCGAGATCTCGAAATAGTCGATTGGAAGTCTAAGCATCAAATTCGTCGAGATTTCGGCTATCGAATGAGCTTTGTGTAGTCCAATAAAGAGCGATCAACAGACTTTAGCTGAGCAAATAAGGTAAACCAAGTGTGAGACATGATTACATTCTTGCTGTTACAACGCACTACAAAGGCTTTTTTGAAAACCAAGCAGACTGTTGGAATCCTCGAGATCCAAGCTTTCGAATGACCACTTAAGTTCCAGATAAAAACTTTTTTAACAAAAAAAAAAGATCTCTGAAAATTTGAGAGCCAAAATAAACCCCATCTGTCGTAAAGGGTTAATTCCACCACAACCCATTGAACTATTAAAATAGAAGGACTGGGAAAAAACCACAACGATTAGAAAACAAGTCTAGAGAAAGAAGAAAAAAGAGAAAGAGAAAGAAGAGAGGTAAGAGAGAGAACTTTTTTCCAAGTGTCCTTTGCAGATGCTATTTAGCAAGTCTGCAAAAACGCGTCGTCGACATTTCGAAATGGGCGGAACGTAGTCTGTGAGCAAGGCAATTTGCTTCCTCTACGCGCTTTGTGCAATGACGCGTCAAATTCGATGTGTTCGGATTGCGGAGGTTACTCGGTCGTTCTCAATCTCCTTTGCTAGTCGGTCGATTGGCCGGGCTTGTCTACGGACCACCGAAATCGTGGTCCGTACAGCTATTGTTCTTTTGATCTCGTGGTCCCAGTCATGCTGGTCCTTAGGATCGATATCATTACGCTATTTTCATAGAATAGATCAAGATTCAGAATTTCAGGAAAGTTTTTCCCTCAGAAGTCGTTTGAAGCGTTCCATAGTTTCAAATGTCAGCTGATGCTAGAAGTTCAAACCTCCTCGTTCTTTTTTCTTCTGTAAAATCGTTGTTTAATGCTTTGATCTATCAACCGATGGTTTAATGAGATTGAACCCATGAGATTTGAACCGCGAGAAAGTTCATCAGAGTGATCTCTGCTATTCCTTTTTATCTTTTATTATTTTTCGTTCTTAACTTGTGACTAGCAGGATTTCTTTCCTATTCGACCTCTTACAACAATGCTATGTTACTTCTGAGTATGTGTATTCGATAAGACACCTTGGAACCTCGGACGAGGTTCGAACCCGCGTCTTATTCTTTCCAAGGATGCGTGCTAACTAACTCGTAGCGCTACCGGGGCCCATGTTCTTCTAGCCATCCTCGATATCATTTATTACCTTATCTATATCTTTGCCCTCTCTATTATTCTTTAATCTTCTTTTGTTGTTCTCACTTTTGTTATTCTCTCACTTTGAATTACTCATATTTGAACTTTGAACTCTGTTTTTGATGGCAATGACATCATTTCGAAATAGCGTAAGATTCTATAGATAAGAGCAATCTCTGCTCCGGAATTGTTTAAGAGTGATTCTAGTGTTCTCCAGAATTTACCGTAGTATTTCATAGTGATTTTTACTAATCTCACTCTTGAAAAAAATTTGAAAAAAAAAAACTTCATAGTATTATCCTCGTTGATCAACGGCGAAAACAAGAATAAAATAACCCTATTACTTTACTGGAAAGCTATTTGTTGCTTTTCCCTCCATCCCTAACAACTTTCAAATGCCAGATGCCTTCTGGCATGCTAATTACATCTGCTTGTTAATTGCCTATTAGGCATGAGTTTCCAGTCCCAGTAGACATCGGATCGATGTCTAATCTCATAATCCATTTAGCATTTTGATAATGTGGTGCTGAGTTTACAGTATCTTGGGTCCACGGTTTAGTGCAAAGATTTTTTTGGCACTTTGTGTGATCCGTTATTACAGGGTTTTTTTACTGTGTGGATTCTAGTACTTCAAGCATTCAATTCGCTTCTCGTCTTCTTTAACGGTGTAGAATGTTGGTCAAACGAATTTCCTTGCAAAGGTAGCCTAGCTGTTGGCGCTCCATAAGACGTTATTGACTGCCGGAGAGAAATGGGAGGGGGGGAGGGGTGAAGCTCGGACGAACATCACATGTGCTCGGCCATAGCGCTTCCCGTGTAGAAAATCAATGGTAAGGAATTTATTTCTGCAAAAGTATAGGATTTGAATATAAAATCTCCAAAAGAACGGTTTTTTCAAGGCTTTTCGAGGTTTCATATGTCAGTGAATCACGTACGTTTTGGCAGTTTCGCCTGCCTCTTCAGAGCCACATGCCCCATAGAATAGAGAGACAGAAATTAAAATTAAGACTAGACAACATAAAATGTCTGAGTCGTTTCACAGTCGATGGCCTGCGGCTTTTTATTATGTATATAGGAACTTGCTAAACAGTCGATGAAATGTCAAGGTTTATGTTACTAATAAAAAGCTGTAAGCGATCGATTGTGAAACCACTTAGGCAATATTTTATGTTGTCTGGTCTCAATGTTCTGTTCCCCCCCCCCCCCCCCCCCAATGCTATTTGGTGCGTGGCTCTGACGAAGCATGCGAAACTGCTGAAGTGTAAGTAAGCTACCGACATATCAAACCTCAAGAAAGCTTAAGAACATTCCCAATAATGTGGGGTGTTGTGCAAAAACATTTGCGTCAGCCGGGATTTGAACCCAGATCTCACTAGATCTACATTAGATCTCACTAGGTCTGGCTACCCCGCCAGAGCATCGACGGTTGACTGATGGCAGATAACGCGTTGTAGCGTAAAAAGAGTGCTGTGCAAAACCAACGTCGGTGGTGCAACGGTCAGTTCAGCACACGCTCCTAAGAAGGGTGAGGTCTGGGTTCGAATCCCGGTTGACGCTTCTTTTTTTGCACAGCACTCCACATTATTGGGTATATTTTAGGATCATACCACCGCAGTAGGCAGTCAAGTAAATGAATTTCGATAGCTCAAGAACAGTTTTTTGGAACATATTGGAGTTCGAAAACGAGGTTTTGAAAAACAGTCGATAAAAGTGGCAAGATGGATATATGTAAAAATGATAAGTACTGGACAAAATATTCGACTCCAGCCGGGAGTTGAACCCGAGTTTTACCCAGACCGGGTGTGTGCGCTGCCAACTTTATCGTCGAAGCCACTGTGCCGCTGCCACTTTTTATTTGATAAAGCCAATCGCAGCTGATATAGTAATGCATAATAATGTGTTTTAGTCTATTTCATCATATTTTACAATGTGGTCCCATAACTTCTTGCATTCAAGTTCTTTCCTCACATTCGTCCTCCACAAGGATCTACGAAGATTTCACATCTTACTCGGTTACTGCTTGAGGTTTATTTTTGAACGGCGTGGATTGCTGATCTGAACAACTTTTCTTGCGATCCTGGAGGTACCCAGGCTAGGGTGTTTCCTAGAGCGTTCAGTTGATTCATTGCAAGAGTGTTGAGAGAGGGAGTCAAACCAGCAACTTGCTTTTTGATGCTTGCGTCAGTAAATACTTGAACACCCCCGCCCGTCACCCCTTCTCTACAGAAAATAATAGTAATAATTATTGTCTTCCCATCGACTGCTTCAAACCTAGCTATAAGCATTCAGTGGAGTCTGTGAACATCTTCTAAGCCTTCAAAGGTTGATACGTCAGTGGCTTGCTTATGTTTCGGCTGTATCGCCCGCTTCATCTGAGCCACTCGCTCGCAGTAGTAAGCCCTACTCTTATTTGAAAAAAGTGGTGATAGCCACAGTCACGTGATACCACCAAAACCACGTCTCCCATTCCGCTATAATACTAGGTTGACCATTGGGGGCGTGTGGCTCTGATGAGGCGGGCGATACCGACGAAATGGACGTAAGCCACTGACTTATCAACCTCAGAAAGGCTTGAAACATTCTCACACTAATGACGATGATAATGGTAATAATAATAATTATAATAATAATAATAATAGCGATAATGTGGGTTAGAATATAGAAATTTTACTTTTTGAGGTTCTCTGTTGGCATTCATTCACTTTTCGGCGATCATATTATTTATGACTCAGCATCGTTGTTAACATAAATATTTATGAGTCATCTTGGAATAAATCTTGAGAACTTACTTAGCCGACACGAGCTTATGACTCATGTTTTGTTTTGTTTCTATGATTCATGTTGTTGTCACTTCAGCTTGATTTATATGGCGTAAGATGTTGCAACATCCCGTTGACGCCTCATAAATCCAATCAAAAGTTCTTTCTTCCTGCTTTAAGAGTTTTTTAATTTATATGAAAGGAGCGCTAAGTGTGGTGGCAATAGGTATAACTGATTGTCACCCTAAGTCCTTAGATAAGAGCGGTTTTATTTTCGCAAAAAAAAGGAGAGACAAACTCGCGTTTCATACCGAAAGAGTGGCAGCAAAGCGATAGCCTTGATGGTGTAGTGGTAGCAACGCTCCAGAATGAGTGGAACGCGGTTCATCTCCCTCCTGGGCTTGGATGTTTTGCATACTACTCAGTTTTCGTAGATGTATATTCACAATTTAGAATACAGTTGGTCTTAGAGACATTCGACTATTGTAATTCAGCTACTATCTTTGGAATTTCTTCACTCGTGCAGCAATCGATATTGCACTTTTGTTAACTACAAAAGTAATCGATATTACACTCTGCGCCATTGACCTTTCCATCTATATATATCTTCTTCCAGCTCACCTCATCATGAATCATACATTCTGTTTTATAGCTGTAGGCGGGTGTGCTCATAGAAGTTGGTCTGGACAGTTCTAGGATAACTGAGGCACCAATGTTCTCTATATCTTGCGTCGCATTCCCTCTTGTTGTCCTAGTTTTCAACACATTTTGTTATCTCCGTATCTTCACTGTTGTTAATTCCGTATTTTGTTTCTCTCACTCTATCAACGTACCCTAAAATTTCATAGAGAAGAGCGGTCTTTGCTGGAAAATGGTACTTATTAGTGATTTTATTTATGTACTCATTTCTTTTGTTTTATATTTCTTTTCGTTCTTGGAAGAATTTAAAAAAAAACTTTAAGAATCAATTCATTATGGAATTTTGAAAGAGTTTAACCGCTGTAATCTATTAAAATTTAGAGCAATGCTATATATCCCTCTATCCATGTGTTTATCGGGTTACTGAATGGAGTGGGGCATCTACGTTTGAATATAACGACGTCATTGTTGGGTTGTGTTTTTTTTTTTAGAATCCAGTTAAAAATTTTGAAAATTTTCACTTTTACTTGATGAAATGCTTTGCGTCATTTCGGAGTACTTATTGAATAGTTGAGTTCTTTTTTGCATAGAATATTAACAGGTGAATGCTGTTATTTCACTGTTCACCATACTTTGACTGGAGATGTAATTGTTTATTTCGTTTCATGAATGGAAATTCAACTTCCGGGTATAGAGAACTGGGAAATCGCTGACACACGTAATAGTGGTCAAGTATTGACTCGGTTTAGTCTAAGCTAATGGCTTAAGCTAGACGGATGATTTGATTCGCAGTTGTGTTTGAAGAACCCCAACACCCAGTGGGAACCAGATTTCACGCCATATTCACCTCAGTCTTCGTCGTTTCATGTTTACACTATCAAGACTTTACACCTGAGCTGTACATCATGAGATAATCATGATTTAGTCATGGTCTTAAAGATGTTGAGAATTGTTGAATTTATTCCTATTTTTTCTGAAGAATGACATTACTTTTGGGCTTTGTCCAAAGCCTCTTTCCAACCTAATCTTTGTTCAGACAAATCGATAGGTGGGTGATATAGAATTCCTCATTCTCAAGTTCTCGTTCCTATTGTTTACTGGATATCCTCTGTCATTAGTAGTGTTTTCTCAAGCTTTTTCTTTTGTAATTGGTCAACTTTTGAGGTTAATTCTGCCAGTCTCTTCGTGTTCAACGACTTTCAATTTTTTTGGCTTCGCCTCTTGTTCTTAGTTCAAAGATCGTCGTATTCGTGACTTCGCGAACATTTCCATCTCCGTTTTTTACCTACACTTTTTGTAAAAACGTCATTTAAGATCAACGGATAACTCATATAGAACGACTTGATTTTTTTCGTTGTGTAATATGACCCAGAATTTCCAGTGCCCTTGAGGTGAATCAAGTTTTTTTTCAAAATGTTTTCTGACACTCAAATTTGCTACGGTTTCTCAGCAAGCGTCATTTAGAGACGAAGTTGCCAAGCCACGAGTTCAGAAAAAGCATTTTTTCTGTGTTTGTATTTCTGAAGATTAGGATTATCTCCTTGAACTTTACAATGGATTGTAATTGGGCATTAGGTATCTAATTAGTATATTAATGGCTAGATTTCATGCCCAATATTCATTTTTAGGAAAGTTTTTTCCTAATCTCGTCATCCGCTTATCTTCTATTTTGAAGTGGTTACAGACACACTCTTTTGTATCTTTGCGATTAGGTAATCCATCCCTCATTTGCCACAACAGCTCTGCTTCTTTTTTCAGGAGATTCAAAAAGTGTAAGCGTGTTGTCATTCTTAATGGATGTTTTCGGTACTCACAAGGAAATCCTGTTTTGCAAAAGTGTTTTCGTTGGATTTTTTCACCGCCAATGCTAAGTGTATGGAAGAATAACAGCGGCCGGAAGAAGGCGGGTGCTATAAGTTGGGAGTTCATCAACTGAATATGATAAATAAGATTAGATTTTTGGCCTGATTGAAAACGTTTTTAAAATACAAGTCAGTCTTTTGTGCTGTGGTAAAGTACGTTCAATCAGTTGAGATTTGTGTTTGTCTCGTTTAAGTTATCGTGAGACTTTGGTCGTAAGATATGAAAAAGTACGTGAGGAACTGCTTACTGTTACGTGTGAAAATGAATCTTATTTTACTGGTCGCAGGGCATGTAATGATATGTTATCTCTGCAGTGTAAAGTGAAATTTTCACTTTGCGTGCGCACTGTAACGTCTCCGTCGTTGAGTCCTTTTTTATGTGTAGGGGTACATGATCTTACAGAAGATCAGCTCAAAGGAAAGGTAACGTGCTACTGATGAGGCTGAAAGACCGAAATACACGTGTCTAGCACTTCATAAAGAGACCCCATGAAAGGCTCAAAATATGTCATCAGAATAGTATTTCATTTTCTTAGTGTATATATATGTATATGCATATATATACATATATAATAAAAAAGAGATAAAGCTCTCGGCGTTGATCAATCTCTGAGGGATGCGCCATGCATTCGAATTTAATTTTTAACTTCGTTTGAGGTGATTGAATGCACATCTGGCCTTTACAATGACTCGCGGTGGCCTCCCCCTGAACCGAGTCAATGCTGCTTATCCTCCCACACAAGTCTGAGACCTGTCTGGTACCAATTTACCGACCCCGGAGGGATGGATGGCTTGATGAGCCATGAGCGCGAGATCGAACCAGTGACCTCGTGTGCGACGCAGTGCACCATGTACATATATATTCACATGTATATATACATTACATTCTTACACATATTTGTACATTTATATGCGCGTATATATATATGTATATGTATACGTATATACATACACGTATATGTACGTGCACATATATACACGTGTGTGTACATACATGTAATATATATGCATACATATATATTTGTGTATATATATACATGTGCGTATATATATATATACATGTGTATATATATGTATATACGTATATGTGTACACATCTGTGTGTACTTCAATTGGCAAGAAAATGCGTAAACGACGTAGTCTAGCTCCGCCTTTGGTCAACTCTTGCTTAAGATGAAGCCTATTAGGTTCTATACACATCCAGTCATTTCGCTATGATCGAGTGCCAAGCTTCTCGAGCTCAAGAGCTATTTCTTTTTCTATGGGTTTTCTTTGCGCTATTAATGCATATCTTGCT